TGCATTTTAATAACAATGTCTCTTCTCTGACTTATGGGGCTTGAACTGCTATAAGCAATGACTAGTTAGCCTACTGCCTGCTTCTCTAAGCAACATCTTGTAGTTTGAAACTATAAGCTGGTGCATTACTGTTGAGTAGAGGATTTTCTCTTAGGCAGCTGTTCTAAAAGCAAATTTCTTACCAAACCATTACTTCTCTGCTCAGTTAGGCTGTTATAGCTGAATTACTGTTGCCAGCATGGCTGGTCTGCCACTCGTATTATCTGCCCCTTCTCAGACAGCTCCAAATAGCTTTCTCACCTATGTGCTAGAAGAATTAGAAGCAAAGGGATGACTCTGCGCTTGCTTGCACTGGCTGCAAGGCATGCTCACAGGGTGCTCCGTGCTTATATCAGACTCTGTGCGTGGATGCAGGCATATGTAGTATTTCTCTCACCTGTAAGGCACATCTGCTAACAAGATAGGTGAAGATCTGCAACCATGGACAACAATGAGGATTCAGTGCTGAGGGAGTAAGCCCATGATCAGGATGCAGTGTGTGTGCGCCACAGTGCTAGTGGAAGCTGAATGTGCGCAGTGTTTTAATACACATCTTCACATCAGGCTTGTGTGGGCAGGAGTCTTCAAACAGAGAGAGGGTTTATCTCATTTCCCTTTACAGCAACTGTTCTCCAGTTTGTTGTAGCAAAACAATTGGCATCTTGCACAAAAATGGATTTGGCTGAAACTTTCTACCCTAAGCAGTGCAGTCACCAGCTAGGTGTCTGTGGTACGCACTGGTGCCCTCTCCCCAGCCCAGGTTCAAGGTTGTATATAGTGATCTCTCATACTCCTTTCAGTCCTGTCTCTTAGAAGAGCAGATAAAAGACCAAGGAAGAATTCCCGTGCTATTAGTACCATATGCTGAAATAGGGAAGTGTTGTTCCAAACTCAGGACTGGAATAATCATCATGGAGGGATGTCCTGCAGACTTCAGAGGTGAAGGTCGCTCCTCATCAGGCCTTCCCAAGCTCCATCAGGGCTCACCTCTGCAGTCCTTTGCTACGGCAATGAACATTTACTCACACAAGTAATCTCAGTGCTATGGGAATAGGATTTCTCGGGTAAATCTGATTAATACAGCTGTTAGCTGTGTAAAGCCCTGAGTCTCACACTGCTGTCCAAGGGCTGGATTCCCATTGCAGAGAAAGGGCTTGGTTTCCATCACGGCATGAAAACACTTCTGTTTTAAAGAAAAGTCCTGAAACGTTTATGATGAATAAAACACCAAGATCCCACCGAGCAAACACTGAGGGGTCTGCAGTTTTGTGACAGACTGAGCGAAAGTGGCAGAATACATGGTGGGATCCTTCCCCTGCCAGCTGGACGCTTACGACAGACCCACTTACAGGACTCAGTTTAAAGCATAGAGACACTCAATTACGTAAATCCGGTTGATCTGTAAATGTGGAATTAAGTGCTGTCAGCCTTCACTTACTTGCCTGCCACAGAGTTATATTTTCATGTACACTTGCTTTACAGATAAAAAAGCTATGGAGTTTAAAAGAGGGCTCAGCTCAGTTTTGCAAGCTGGAGACACACTCAGAAGCAGCAAGGACAATGCAGCCTGTAGAAAGACTATGTTTGTCATAACATCTGCTACTCCTGAAGCCAAGTCACAGTCACCAACCCTTAAACTTTTTGCCCCTCTAAAAAGCATAGCTCGAGGAATAGGAATAAAGCAACTGAGGCTTTTAGCCTTTCCCCAAACTCACCCTCAGCTGGTCTAGCAATTACTCATACAAGCAACAGAGAGTTTTGGTCAGACGAAGCTTTGCACAAAATAAAACACAAATACAATTGCATAGCAATCAGACAGACCTTTTCACTGCAGGTCATTGAAGTGATCCTGAAACATTAATTAAGCCTCACAACACTCCAGAAAGGTAGACAGTCCCAAGCCTGTTTTACACGTGGCTCAGCTGAGTTTGCTACAGGACAAAGGCAGAAAGAGGAGACCCTGACTCTGCTTGCATCTTGCTCTGACAGCACCGCCTAATATAACAACAGGCATTTAACATGCCTACACGCAGCGTCAGCTCCTGCTACAATGCAGAACAAGAGCACAGTACTAGTATTATTATTTTAATTATAAAGCACTACCTATATAGGAGCTGAGCCAGAAAATATAATCTGTTTTAGCACAGAGCTAACTACAAAACTAGCTGCTCATTATACGGTAATGGAACCAATATCTATCAGAGACGAGATGTGAAAACACAAACAACATCGTGATTAGATGACTCTAAACCGTATTTAAAAACCATTAGATACTAGATCCTAAAACAAGAGGAAAAAGATCACTGTCTGGTTGTGGTTAATAGATGCAGTCATGATTTCAATCATGCTTTAAGCTAACAGCCAGCAAACAAAAAGCCTGCAGTATCGGCAATACCCGGTATCTATGCATTTTGCCATCAGTGTTATGTTTATTATAAAACCCATGCAGGCAGTATTAGAAAGAAAGAAATATTAATGATTAAAAAGGATCTAATCCTTTTCTGCATACCTCCAGTTTTACAGTGATGGATGAATGAGATCCAATGGGAAAATAATGATCCTTCCAGCCTCAAAAAAAAAAAAAAATAAAATCAGTAGCTGCAATGTAGGCTCTCATCTCACACTGCATTTCTATTTTGGCTTCTCTCTCCTCTAGGCTACTTTGAGAAGTCTCATCAGTAGGAATACGTCCATCTCTGGCTCTTTCCTTCCCCCCTGAATTTCAAATTGGGCAGAGCCAGAGGTAAAAACTTCAGTACAAAGTCCAGACACTGAGGAACACGTCCCCATATAGCTTCACTGCTGCACCTCCACCCTGCTGCTCCACTGAGGGCAACTCCTGAGCAGAAGCTGCCAAGGCAAAGACCAAACTCATTTTCACTAGTTACACATACAGCATGCCTATACACCACCTCCTAGAAAAATGCTTCCCTCTGAACACTGATACTGATACTTGTATACCCCTCTACAGAGTCTGTGTTGCGAGCTGAAAATTAGTGTCTTTCCTACTAAAATAAAAAAGGTATTCATTGGAAAGCTGTAAAGTGAATCAAATGCACTGTGCTAAATACAGGTGAACCACGGGCACGAGAGATGCTGAGCCATCTTTGGCTGCAAACACTACAGGGTATTGCTCCCAAGCTTCTGCTGCAGATTAAGGGGCAGGTTTTCAGCAAGTATAAAGTGATGCTGCTCTATTAAGATGCACTAGAATGATGCCTATTTATGCCACCTTAGTGCCTGACTCCTGCTTAAATGTCTTCTTCTCAGCAAAATAAGATAAAGGGGGTAAAGAAGAAATAAAGGAAGTTGGATCGGCTATTGGATGGAGGAAAAAAACGTTACTCCTCAGAACCAAAAAGTTTTCAAGTCCCTCTTTCAACCTCTAGCCCTTCCATGGCAACTATGAGCAGAGTGGAAAACAGCTGTGGGGAGGAGAAGGGAAGGGGAGATTAAATTTGGATGTTTCAGATCCTCCCCTTTGGAACATATTGAAACCATACTGCAGCTCCCGCAAAATTTCTATCTGCACACATGATGCAAAAAGCCACAGTAATAAAGGCTTTGTTCTTACTCTGCTGTAGATCTGGCCTGATCCTGCTTTCAGTGACATCCGTGCAAACAAGTGTGACTCCAGGGAAGGTACTCAAAGGATCACAGTCAACCAAACATACTCTGGCACCTCTAAAATTGGATTTCAACCTGCTGCATTGTAAAATAATCAGTGAGAGCATCTGAATGCTTGCAGTACTTGACATTCAAGGAACGTGAGTGCAGAATGAATGCAACTTCCACGTTGAGCATGTGGTATAATAAAATACCGTATCCTGTCCGCTCCTGTTAATCACTTTTCTCTCTCCATCTTTCTGGCTGCATAAATCACACTTATTTTGCAAACTCACTGAATGCTGAATCGATGCAAGATAGAGAGTTCTCCACGTACAGCTGTTGGCTTGCTGAAAGGCTGTGATTTACATCACGGTGGAGTCTGCCCACAGGTGCTACACAGTTGTGCTCACTTTTCCATAAGTTAACTTACATCTTTCCCCATATTCCACCCTCTCTTCCATTCAGGGTGGGAATATTCACATCCATTACAGAAGTAGACTATCGAGAGTAACACTCTATATTTTAAAAACAGAATCCCAATTCTGCAATGTATAAAATCTTTAATATGGAGTATTTCCACCCCAAAGCCATGAGATTTGTATACCAACAAAAGCAATAGGTCTTTGTAATACGCTATGTTTTGTCATTTGGATTATCCTGGGGTTTGATTTACTGATCCAGCTTCAGAGGACTGAAGTGGAAGAAGTTCAAACGTTCCACAGATTCTTCTTCCATCAGCTTTTAAAGAAACTGTGCCTCTCCCCAGCTTCTGTACTTTTTAATTAACAGAAACAACTCCAAAGAATCACCGCTGCCACAAATATCGTGCGAGCGCATTTGGCTTTGAGCATAAGCACTTATTATTTGTTGGTATACTGCTCTACCCATCATTTTCCAGAGTCTTAAATAATCATAAATAAGAAAATCTGTGTTATTCTTTGGTACATTTCTGTCTGTTTAAACCACAGCCGAACTTTTAAGTTGTACAAACAAAAAATTGCACTTTTATCTTCTAGAGAGTCTTGCTAGTCCAACAGACTTAGCTGAAGGAGATTCTTTATTATACTCAAACCTTGTCCCATAAGAGTTGCTGCTGTTGCTCAGTTTATGAAGTATCTTAGAGATTTTGTTTGGTCCACAACAGAAAACTCCAATGGTCTTCCTGTTAAAAAAAAAAGAAAAAAGGTTATGACATTCCAAATTAATAGTAACTTCTAATGACAGACAGAATTGGCTTCTGGCCTCACTGTATTAACTTTTCTTTCTTTTAAACCCCCAGCCGAACTTTTAAGTTGTACAAACAAAAAATTGCACTTTTATCTTCTAGAGAGTCTTGCTAGTCCAACAGACTTTCAGCTGAAGGATTCTTTATTATACTCAAACCTTGTCCCATAAGAGTTGCTGCTGTTGCTCAGTTTATGAAGTATCTTAGAGATTTTGTTTGGTCCACAACAGAAAACTCCAATGGTCTTCCTGATAAAAAAAAAAGAAAAAAGGTTATGACATTCCAAATTAATAGTAACTTCTAATGACAGACAGAATTGGCTTCTGGCCTCACTGTATTATACATAAGCCAACTATGCATAGATTTTAAGGTGAGAACAGCTCACTAGATCATGTAGTTAGTATTACTGAAGCCACCAGATCTCTCCCAAGTATCCCCACAGCAAGCCCTATTACTTATTTGACTAAGACAACTCTTAGAAAGAAGTGCCTCTTCTTAGTCTCAAGACACCAAGTGATGAAAAATTACTACTTCCCACTCTAATTTTTCCATGATTAATCACTTTTTTTGTTAAAAATGTGTCTCACTGTAATGACTTCATTAGTGTAACTCCTGATTTACACCAGCAGGAGATCTAGTCACTAACGGTGATTTGTTACACTAATGAAAACAGAGCACTACTAACCCATGATTATTTCTGGCAGCAGCAGAATAATTTTACCGCTTTAGTTTCACATTAGCATGCAATCTTTCCTTCAACAGCTGTATCAGAAAGTCTTATGAAAAGCCAAACACAGAATACGATCCTTGTTCATCATCCACAGCTATCAGCCCGGGTTCATTAGTTAACCTGACTTTTTCACACCACTCCACCGACAACAGCTCTTTGCTCTCTGGTCATCTTAAACACAGGCTGTAAGTCAGACTCACAGTCATACAGCATCTAAGGGCTCAGAACAGTAGCCAGCATCAGAACAGGCACATCCACAACAGCAGGACTGAGGCAGTCGTGATATTCGTCATCTCCCTTTTTTGAAAGATGAGAAGCGAAAGGAAGGAGCAGGGAAAGAGGATGCGGTGCCGTCTCTTCTATATCATGAAAAAAAAAATTTCTTCATCTTCCTGCTGAAATTGTGCCACTACAGAGAAAGATCTTAAAGATTTACTGGGATGGAGAGAGAGCCCAGAGGAGGGAACACGGCTCTAACTATTGTGATCTACAGCACTCACCAAGAGGCTGGAGACTTGAGTTCTGGTCCCTGCCTCCAGGACTGTTTCAGTGTTTTATCTAGTAACTATTTAATACAAAATATCTTAGCACATGCAGGATAATCAAATGCACAGTTTAAAGTTGCCTCTGTATGTGCTTGGTGAGAGAAGGGAACTAACATATACAAGAAGAAATCTTTGATGCATACTGTCAGGTGTATGCTGCCTGATGCAGCAGCTCAAATAGCGTGGCAGTCCACGCTGTACCAGGGCACAGCAACACTGGCATGGTACAACTGAGGACTCAAACATCAAAAAGCATCACAAAGTTATGCAGGTAACTGCAATGGTGTCCTTGTGAAGGCACCTTACAACACTGACTTTAACTGCCTTCAATTACATCATCTCTCATATCAATCTATGGCAAATAATCATAACTTGTACTTTTCTCACCCTTATGTATATCTATTAAACTTTCCTGTCCTGGCAGTACTCCTTTTAACGGCAAGGGATGTTGTGTTGGTGGCTGGATTTGCAGAAATAATGAGAACACTATTGCTCGTTGCTCTCAAATAAGATTCCTCAGCACTTGCAGAACCTGAACACCCTCTAATCTGTGCACAGTGGAGAAAAAGGGTGCATGAGCTGCCAGCAAGAATCTGTTTTCTACTGTGTATTTAATTGAGAGAATTAATGTTGTTGTTTGTTTTCATTAGTCTAATTAGTACAGACAACTGATAAATAAACCCCAATGAGTTCATCTGTCTCTCCCTTTCATTACATATATATAGCCCCCAAAGTGCAGACATGTCTAAGCAGCACATACTGCTAATGTATTCCCATCCCAGCAACATCCTTCCAAGGCACACAGAATTTTTGGCTAGTAAACAGAATCACAGAAAGGTTAAACGATTTGCCTAAGGTCACACAAGAGACCCGTGGCTGACTAAGAAGGTCACCTGAAACCCAGCTGAGCCACTGCCCCGTGCGGTGAGCCAGCGGCTCTCAAACTTCCTTCCTGGGATACCCACCATCAGCATCTATTCTGGATATCCTTCCATGTACCACTTACCTCCCACAGTTCACGCCCCACGTCCTCCGCCACCTACGCCCCCCACTTCCCTACTTGCAGATACCTTCCTCCCTACCTCATTTGGCTCCTGCCTGGTTGCTGTGACACAACTGCTACTACTGCTACTAGCTACTACCCTGAGCAGCACGCTACTACCCTGAGCTGATGGGCTTTAACTGCATATCACTTGTTTGGGTCATTGGCTCATCTTGTTGCTCAGATGAAAACAGGCAGCTAGGTATCGCTGAGGCATAATGTCTGAAAATCTTTTAAATACCACTAACGTTTATAATTAAGGAAACTGTGCTATAGGCCATTCTTTGTAATAAGTACAAACATTGATAGGATTTTACTCATTCAGAGCACTAAGCAAATAACTCCTCAGGGCTCCTATGGGATGAGTAGGTCAGCATATGTCCTTACATCCATTTTATGAACAGCGGAAGGTGAGGGAGGGGTGAAATACTTTGCTACCCAGGGAGGACAGAGTCAGGACTTTAAATACTCCAGTTTTAAATCCCATATTCATTCCTAGAGAGAGATTTCTCCTTTACAGTGCACAAGAAATGTATCATGGTGCTCCACACCTTCCTCTCCTACAGATATTCGTGTCTTTTTCTAGGTCAGTCTCCATCTGGAAAAAAGCACGCGTCCATTTGAACTAAACAAAATTGCGAAAGCGTGGCAGCCAAGGCATGGTATAAGCTTTTCATCCAGGAGACAACTGAACAGACAGACAGCAGGCAAGGCTGCTGCTCCATCCCCAAAAAGGGAGCACGAAAAACAAGACCAGTAATTTATTATATAAACTGTCCCAATGGACATCCTTGGGACTGCGGGTGTCATATAAAATATCAACAGCAGGTGGCACGCGTCTGCTCCTCTGAGTCCAGAAGAAAGAATCGGGAACTTGATGCTGGGTTGTCCCATGTCATGCTCTGAAGGTCTGGCAAAGCTCAGACACTTACAAATGCACTTTGCTTATTTGGGAACCAAACAGCAACAACAGCAACAATTCACAAACCGCAAACCGATCAGATGGCTAAACCGATGAGAGGTTTGTCAGCTGCATGTTTATTTATGTGCAGCTTTTACTAAAAACACAAGATAAAAAGTGGAAAATATCTTGGCTGCCCATAAACAAGCCCAAGGGGATGACTGCAAATACACGTGAAAGCCTGAACACTGGCACCAGATGTTGGAAACAACTTGGTTGCCTTGTTTGTGGGGGGTTTTTTGTGTCTCCATATTGCGCAGGGACGTTTAGATGGAAAGTTACTGAGAAATAAGAATGGAAATAAAGTCAGAAGGAGACCAGGAAATGGGAAGATTGGGACTATACAGAAAAATAGAAGTTCCCGTCTTGTCCAGGGAAACAGGGAGAATATTTACCTACAACAGGTAAGTTTATGTAGGATAGCTGAGTTATAGGTTGCACTACTGTCTATCATGTTACACGCAACTGTATCTATAGATACAGACCTCTAGCTATAAATCCTGATAAAGGGGTGATAAAGGGTGAGGAAGCCTACATCTTAGCAACTGCAGGATAATCAAAAGAAACAGAACATTATTTAGGTACTAAAAGACACCTTGCTTGGAAATGATGCACAATTTAAAGACCTGATGTGGAAATGCAGAGGAAATGGTACTTGAAGTCTAATTAGGAGTAATATGATGGAAAGCACAAAAGAAAAAGCAAGTATAACTACCACTAATAGCTTCATCTATATTATGTGCACTTACAGCCTTGCAAGGAAGTGGCAGAAACCTCATCATTTTCATCTTTTAAAACTGCATTCACACAGTTAAACAAAAAAGACATTAGAATGGATCATAAAAGGTCAACACTCCTCTATGCACAGGAGTTTGAGCTAGAGAGTCAACTTGCTTCTCTGACTTCTCTATTTCCCTTTCTTTCCCATGGTTCTTTACTACAAAACCCTTCTCTAAGCGATACTTGTTTACACAGTGTGAGAATCCTACTAGGGATGTCCCTCTGTAGCAGCCTTTGGGACATCCTGGCAAGGGACCCTGTCCACAACATCCTCTAGGACCTGAATCCAAGACACATGTTGTCAGCAGCTTACGCTGCCAACTGTGATACATATTGGCACTCAATACTTCTCAAGAGCCAAGGCTCAGTGTCCCCTAGTCATATCCAGCCTCAGAAGAGGAGAGTCAATAAGCCATGGGCAGATGTTCACTTTGCAAGTGCAAGAGAGGACAAAATGTTCTTGAGGGAAAGTTCTGCAGGTGAACGGGATTGTGAGAGCACCTCTCAACCTGGTACACCCAGATTACTCTCAACAGCTGCTGAGGGTTTTTCGCTCCCACCCCACTGACTACACCAGAATTAAATTAAGGAAGGCTCACACAATCCCTTCTACCAGATCAGCTTTTGAGGCAGAAAACTGCCAGTGGGGTGTAAAATACTTAATCAACAAAGCTGGATCTGGACAAAGACATTCCGTAGTCTAATTGCATGTCTTCTCTGGTTTACAACTGTCTTGTTTCAGACCATAATATGTTTGCCTAGCACAGTAAAAAGACATTGCCAGGTCTTAACAAAGAATAAAGAAGTGCCAGGAATCTCCAAAGACAATGTATACTCCGAATAAAAACAATACAGGACAGTCAGATTCTTCCTTGTGCATTCTGTTTGTAAACCAGCACTATAGATCATGAAAATTATAGAAGAAGTCAACAATTTTAAAAAATGCAACTTTATATATAAAACCAGCATATGTTGCAAGCAAGATACTGCCACAGACAAAAACATATGCAATCTCTGTGCAGTGAGATGGAAATCTATTCCTTTTATTTTCTGGGCCACTGAACATCCTAGCTGCATGAAAAGATGAACTGTTCTGAGTGTAAAAAAAAAAATTGTTTCCGTTTGTACAGGCTATCTCTCACAGCAAAATGTTAGCTAATTTCAACATCAGTAGCTTAAACATTACACTCTAAGATAAACCCCAAAAATATTTTCATACAAACATAGCTGGAAACAGATAACATCCCCACCCTTTAAATTGTGGCATCCTTCAAGCAGAATGGTACTTACCGCCTGTTACACTTCGCTATTTCATCAAAAAGGAGTTTCCACCGGGGTCGTCCAATCAAAAGCCTTGAGTTTAAAGCTTGATATTTTTCACCAATTATTTTCTGCAAGAAACAAAAAATTCCATTCTGCCTGATTTGCAGATTGCCTCATATCACCCAGGGCTCCCATTTCTGACATTGGCTGACTTACCATATTGCTGAGGTGTAAAACCTGAGCACAAGTATCAGACAGTTGTGATTAAAACTGCAGCCATTTCATGCACCAATACCCCTGCTCACTGCCTTTTCAATGGCTCTCCTTGGTGTTCGTTATACATTGTTTCTCATGCAGCTGCTCATTAATCTCCCCATTACTTTTGAACCAATTTATTTAAGCCATAAAACAATAACCACGTTCCTATTATTCATTCCCTCATTGGCTTTTAATGCTAAGCTGGAAGAAACACTGCTGATGCAAAAATCATATTTCTGTCTGAAGTCTTTTTTTAAACTTTGTACAAGTAACTATTAAGATGACTAGGTCTGAAAAAGTAACAAGGGAAATCTTACATTTCTCCATGAGAGTAGTTTGCCAGCTGTTTTGAGCTGCCGTAAAAGCAGAAAGCAGCCAAAACTGCTCCCCAGATGGACCCCAACCCATTCCAGCAGTGCTAACTCACCAGCATTTTGATAAGGTCAAATGCCCTTCCATTGGAGGGCGTTCCCTTTCTTTGGTTTTCTGTCCTAATGCGATAGAAAGGCAGAGGGAAGTTACATCTTATCTTAGGCTACCAGATTCACTCCACTGCTGAAGGACCTGAAACATTGCTCATACCAGTGCAAACACAGAGCCTTGGCTAACTCATCGTCTGTTGGCTTTTTATATTCAAGAGGCATTTGCTGAAGGATGGGCTTGGCTCCCTGTTGTCACACAGGCATGCTACGTCTGAGCAAAGGGAGCATGAAGCAAACTGCCCTAATTTTGGTAGCAGTCAGCACTTTGGACTAACATCAGTGAACACAGAAGCTGTATGGCAATGGAGAGTTGAGTTTAACTCACCCTTGAGAAATCATGAGCAGCATTATCTTTCATGCCACTTTTGTTCAACAGTCACAAAAGAAAAGTGACTTTAAAGAAAGACTTAAAAAAGTTGACTTAAATAAATTCAGTAGCTGCTTGATACACATTATTAGAAAACTTGCTTTGAATTGTCTATCATTACAATCTTGCTGTGTCATTGCAATGCAGTCCTGCTTCGGGTTTTAATTTTAACTTAACAATAGCATACCAGGTTCATCAATTAGGTATTTTCAAGCACCCCATTCCAATTGACATACGTCATCCAGGCATTAAATCTGTGGAGTACTGTTCGTAACTACTATAGCTATCACATCATTTAGACTATCGGATAGTGTTCCTACCAGAGCTGTGAATGTTATGCTGTCTCCACCTGATACCAGGCAGATCAAAATCCTTTGAGCACGGTTTATCGCTGCATTTCATGCTTTGTAGTAATTGTTAGGCTTGGTTCTGGGCCCGCTGCAGTCAATGGAAAGCTTCCAGATGCAGCAGGGTAAAGAATCAGGCCTAGGCTCATGTGCTAAATAATGTAATATGAAGATCATAAGCGTAAATAGCTATGGGAGATGCCAAGATCTGAGGAGTTAGCCCAGCTTTGGGGTTGGTAATACATGACAATTGACAGATCAGTGTAATTTCCCGTCTTATACATCAAGACTTTTGTAACTTTTGCCTATATTTGAGGCGAAGAAATCCAAAGCTTCTAAAAATAGCTAGTTTCTCTCAAAATATTTATTTGAAAAGAGGATTTGAGCTTGCAAGCTCCTAGAACTATTCTGTTTTGATTCTTAGCCCAGAAATGATGCAGATTTCCCATAAACACAGCCAACTGTCTGGTCCGTGGCCTGGCCTGGAAGGACCTTTCCTAGAAAAGGAAGATATGGACTTCTGCCCACATCTAATCAAGTTAAGGCTACTAGACTAGATTCTCTTAATGCTGTAGGGATGGACTTGCTCTCTTGCCCTAGTAATGAATCAGTCAGTTGAGTTTATGGCCTCATTTCCTGTTTTTACCATCTGCAGCAATTCCCTTTTGCCTTTGACTGACAGTTTGCATTTTCTACTACCCCAAAGTCTAGTTCAATTTACAAACAGCATTTAGCCACATACCTGTATTCCATCTGTTTGACTGAGGTACAGCTGGATGTTTATATAGTCTGGTCTATTCTCCTGCCAAAGCTGGGAGGATGATAAAAACAGCTAGTGAAAAAATATCCCTTCTCTTTATGTAAGCGTAAAGTCCCATGTGCCTACTATCCTGAAAGACTTGGGTTTCAGCAACAGTGAAGTAAGCTTTTTAATGAAGAAGATACACTTGCATAGGACGCCTTCATGCACTCCCGAATGTTGCATATCATGCTGTGTACAAAATATTATTGTAGGAAGCTACACTGCTCTTTAAAATCTACCTGAAATTGTAAATGCCGCTCCCTTCTCAATCTGTCTACTAGCCAAATGTCTAAAGGCCACTCAGACTCCCCAACCTGCACGTTCTTCTTCCATCTCATAAATTTCACAGATAAGTGTCCAGACTACTGGTACATGGCAACACTGTGCAATGAAATACTGGTGACAGATACTCAAACTGTTTTGTGCAGCTCCAAGAATAAATGGAGCCTGGGTCAGGTAGCCCAAGCAGAAGTACTGCGGGAGCTTGCTTATTTTGAGCAAGGCTGCCTTTCTCTATAGCGTGCCAGTTGTGTGGTGTGGACATACACTGCATTTATTAATTTGTCAGTATCCCTCCAAGCAATACCCATTACCTTGTCATGCAACATACAGAGCAGATCTGCAAACCAGCGGAAAGATTCAATGTCCCTGCACACCCAAATGAAGTAGAGTCTTCTGAGCTTGTAGCATTTCCAGCCATCACTTGAAAATAAAACGTTTGGGTAATTAAAAATTATCATTTAAAAAGGAAACATTAATTAAGATGCTTTTTATTCATTAGTGGAAATGTGAATTTCCATTAGAAGCTAACTGCTAAGTTGTTCTTCATCCTATGATACAGCAGACACTGAAATGACCAATGCAGACTATTATGATGATCCTGAGAACATTAAATTAGCACCCTTCACAGATACTGTTTCCACATTAGGAAGTTGTCAGCTATACAGATGATTTGGGCAGCAAATATGGATTCATGCATCATCATCAAACTTTTATTTCAAAGCGAAGTAGACATTCTAAGTTCAAGTGTATTATGTCAATTCTTTATTAGGTTTATAAAGCGACCCATAAGAGGAACATATTGACAAATGCAATAATGTCAGGACTTAATTCGGCCTTTATATGCGAGAGACTCTGGTTGATTATAATTAATACTCTAGCAAAATCACAAAGACCAAATCAAATCAGAGCTCCACTGTGTTGGGAACTGTGTGATATATTACAATCCTCAGAAAATGCTGGTGGGGAAAGTGCAGTCACGGGCAGATTCTGGCATTGCATTTAGAAAAACAGGACTCTCATGTCAGATTTCTAATGTAAATAAAACACAAATATAGCACAAAGGAAGGACTGGAATGAACTGGGAAAGAAAACAGAAGTGAAAAAAATCCTGATGATTAACGAGTTCAAACAAAAAACAAATATCCAGGAAGTATCTTCTTAGTTAGCCAATTCTGTTTTCTGTTGTTCTGATCACTGAAATAGCCAGTGTACAAATTGTTTCCTCCTTTTCCTCCTAAAATAATTTCAGATAGAGAAGGCTGACAACTTCAAACGCTAGTCCCAGGAGCCAACCCCAGTCAAAAAGTTTCACGATACACCTCACCATATCCATTGCGCATTATTTCAAACTCTAGCGTTGCTGGCATATCCATCAAGGGTATTGCATTAATAGATCTACCTAAGTAATGACTCCGATCACTGTCTTACCTCCCCATACCCCTAACCTCCACTGTAAGCCCGAGGAGCAAGGATGGAGACATTCTCAGCAGCATGTAGGGGCTGAGAACTCACCTTTTGTGTAAACTTCCCACAGAGAGAAAAAAAGTGCTTTAAGACTGGAGAGTACAGTGTCTTTCAAGTCCCGATTTCAGCTTTTTTATTTGTAAACTGTTGACCTGCAGAGCAGGATTTCCTCCATCTTTTTCTGACTGCCTATACTAGACAAGTGCTTAGGAAGGGTCACAATCTGGTCAGATGTGACAAGATAACTATAAGCAGTAGCAAGGAAACGAAGTGCCTTTCACCATAAAAAAGGATAAAAGAAGAGAAAAATGCAAGGCATTTTGTATTGAACTGCTGTAGCTCAGTAACAAAACACCACTTGCAGTGATGAAACATTGCAGCTGGACAAAGAGGCTGGACTGCAAGACTTCATGAAACAAGTCAAGCATAGATTTAAAATAGCACCTCAGACACCTATGCTTGGGTCTACCTCCAGCAAGATATATTATGCAATAAAGGTGCAATCCCCCATTACAACCAAACCCACATGTATATAACACTTCTTGTGTGTTTCTCTGTTACCACTGCCCATAATAAAAGCCATTATTTACAGACCCTTCTGCATGAAAGTCACTAGCTTTCCTTAATGTAAGTTATATTTTCTTAAAAATAGGGCATAGGGTTCAACAGTTAAGTGGAGGGAAGGGCAGGAGCAGGAATTAAATTGTGTACATACAACAGGAACACAACTGAGCAGGAAACAAATGACTACATCAACAGGCTTCTGATCTCCCCCAGACCTGCATGTCCTTGACACAACAGGACTGGCCCCGCTGCTCTGCAGCGTTGGCATCATAAGGCAGTTTGCATGTTCGCACCTGCCAATTTCTGCTAAGCCAGGGCAAAGACAACAGGCAGATCATCCACTAAATCAGTGCTTTGTTGATGTTTAAATACTGAGAAGGAAAGCAGGCTTAGACGGTTACTTCTTCCCAGAATTGCAGAATGATTCCCCTGTATAATGTTACAGTTCACAAGGGGAAGATTGGCTACAAAGGCAGGTTATGGGATTGGCTGCTTGGAAGCCCACTTATGGCTTTATCCAGATAAATGAACATTGCAAAAGCTTTTGGACACTAACCTTCTATGGCAATGTCTATGCAAGTTCCTACAGCCTCCAATAACACACTGATAGAGGCAAACATCTCATTACCTGCTGTTGGCCCATCATTATCATAAGTGACATTTTTGCTAAGCACTGTCAAGGATAGTCCATCATGAGGAAAATGGTCATCTTCTCCACCTGGGTCCCAGGATTTCAGCAAAAACATACCCTCTTTTTGAAAGGATGATCAATACACTCTCAGGAAAAGAAAATGAGGGAGCCCCAGATGGTCTTTGAGGACTGCAGCACTATGAGACAGGCGGGGCTAATAATTTTCAGAAGTGCTCAGCACTGTCAGGTACAGCACAGATCAAGGACAGAAGAACATGCATAGCATCTAAATTCTAGGCTTTAACTTCACTTTGGAGTTAGAGCTGGCTATTGGCATGTTCATCTTGGAACAAATGCTTGAGCTGTGCATTGTAAAACCCTCCCAAAGCCAGCCAGCCTTTCAACACTTCAGGGAAGGTTTGCTGCTTTGGTTGGCTGTTTATACAGTGCCTATGAAACAGGGGTGCTTAACCTGTGACTGGAGCTCGCCTCCAATAACACACTGATAGAGGCAAACATCTCATTACCTGCTGTTGGCCCATCATTATCATAAGTGACATTTTTGCTAAGCACTGTCAAGGATAGTCCATCATGAGGAAAATGGTCATCTTCTCCACCTGGGTCCCAGGATTTCAGCAAAAACATACCCTCTTTTTGAAAGGATGATCAATACACTCTCAGGAAAAGAAAATGAGGGAGCCCCAGATGGTCTTTGAGGACTGCAGCACTATGAGACAGGCGGGGCTAATAATTTTCAGAAGTGCTCAGCACTGTCAGGTACAGCACAGATCAAGGACAGAAGCATGCATAGCGCATCTAAATTCTAGGCTTTAACTTCACTTTGGAGTTAGAGCTGGCTATTGGCATGTTCATCTTGGAACAAATGCTTGAGCTGTGCATTGTAAAACCCTCCCAAAGCCAGCCAGCCTTTCAACACTTCAGGGAAGGTTTGCTGCTTTGGTTGGCTGTTTATACAGTGCCTATGAAACAGGGGTGCTTAACCTGTGACTGGAGCTCTTAGCCAATAATCTAGCAAAAAAAAAAAAACAACCAATAGCAATCATAAAAGCAAGCCTATTTCACACAGCATAAGATTTGGTGGGAACCATGTTGCCAAAGTGACAGAGAAACAAGAGGTGAAAGGTTTGGTCTGAATAGAATGTCAAAGGCTTAAAATAAAAAAAAAAAAGAGAGAAACAAGAAAAAAAAGTAAAGAAAAAGGCATACCTAAAATTTAAACTTTTCAAATGGAGTTAAACATCCGAATGCTATCTGAATCCAAGTTGATCCCTTTCATTTAAAACCTTAAGCTTACACATTTACAGAAGTCAAACAGACCAGGAAAGCTGGCCCTGCATTTCCAGCAGAAAGACTGTCACGACTTCCTGACTCTCAAAAACTCACTATCATAGTCCATAGCCTCATCTAAGCTGGGACTAGGGGAACAAGTCTAGCTGAAGGGCTGTGACTACATTAATCACAGGTGAGGCTGGTGGCAGGATATAAAGGTTAGTGACACTGTCCCAGCTCAGGTGCATTACTGGCACAACTCTGCCACAACTCTTTGGGTTACAAAGCCTGTATGAGATGATTTGTGCTCTTCAGGGGACATCCCAGTCCTTTACCACTCTCCAAGGAATCATTCACTTATTTTATGCTAATGGAAGTTTTTAAATACTCTGAAAGTCTTTCTGACATGCACTACTATGACAAACTGAGGGGAAATGGCTTTAAAAGGCTTAAGCTCACTTACAGCAGTGTGTTGAGTACTGATGCAAATGGTGTAACTCCAATACCTCCAGCCACGCAGAGGCTGACCTCATAGTTCAGGGATTCCTCAAAGGGACTTCCAAAAGGTCCATCCACATACAGTCTGCAGAAAAAGCAAAAAGAACACTTTTAGAGAAAGACGCTAAAATCAGAGAAGAGAGGAAAAGAAAAGCGGGCTGGAATTAACATCCTACGAAGAATTTGTTTCAATTTTTTATTAGTCTTGGGATGCAGAATATGAAAACTTTTTCCTGGAAAGCTTTATGTGGAGAGAAACCAACGTACAAGTGGTATGAAAAACTGTTACAGGAAGTCTCTTGGCACATTCCATGATTAGACAAGCCATTTTTTAATCAAACAGGTGGAGGTGACTAAATTATGACTGCCCTCTGTGTCTGCTATCAGAGGGCAAAGAAAGTGCTGCACTAGAAACAGTAACAACTTGGTGGGTCATAAGCAGGAAGAGAGTTTGGCTAGCCCTGCCTAGGAGGTTCACCTCTTGAACATAAGAAACAGCTGAGATGGACAAAGGGGTACCAAAATATTTTTTGTGGCTTCTCATAATGCTTTTCAAGGGCCTCCAGGGAATAAAGAAGAGGTGACACATATCCATCCTGCAGTGAGCAAGAGGAATGAATTAACATCTATCTGCTCCTTCACTTCATATCCAGACCCCTGGGAATGTGATCTATCCCAATCATACAGGATATCTGAAAAGAAGGGAAAACCACTGAGTTTACCTCTTTGACTCATGCCTCTCATTCTTACAACAGTTTTGTCTACCTGTTTTTAAAGATCATTTAGGAGACTGAGTCCCATTTCCAACCCATTTTTAATAATTCAGATACTGCTGGGAAGTCAGTTGACTATAATTTAAAAATGGGCTTTTAGGCATCTTAAAAAATTTGATGTCCAAATCCTTCCTACCCTGCTGAAAGTCTGACCAAGGTCATCCATAGATAGCTCAAAATTTATTGCCTGTAATATCTCTAGTAAGATTCACATACCTCCTATTCTACTTATGGAATACCAACCGCATACCTTACTTCAGTAATATATTCACCTTTAGAAACTATTATGAAGAGAACTTGAACGGTACATTTAGTCAGGGTCCATTCTGTGTATGAATGGCTCACTGGATCGCCACACTTTAGGTAACTGGTGAATACAGGAAAGTGTGGTGGGCCCAGCACTGCACTCAGCAGCTCAGTGACTAGGTATTTGGTTGCAGCTAGGTTGACTAACATCAACCTTTGGCCTGAGTCCACACAAAAGTTCCAACATGTGTATTTTTATACACACGGACATACTGGTAGTAGTATTATGCAACCAAGCTAGGCATACTATTTGTCTAATAAAAGGGCATAAGCTTCTCCTTTATACCATCAGCCAGAGAATTAAAGGCAGAGGAGATGTCTCTTTTCCCACACAAAGTCTTCCAACCCTCATCTGATTCTTTCCTTTTGAGGGCTGGATCTTAGCCATAACTTAAGAACTCAGTCTGATCTCATTTCTTTTAGTTTTGTGGTCTGACCCTTGGCATCTTAGCAGTCAAGACAACATCTTGTCTGGGTGTCTTTGGCCAATATGGTCCTTTCTAGGAAATTTCTCCCAGACCTCTGCTATTGCTGACATCTTGATGCCTCGTATGTTAGGCTCCTTCTTCTACAGTCTCTTATCTAAACACAGATAAGTACCTACATTCTGATGGATCTGGAGGCAAACAGGGTGATCCTTAACTATACCCTGACTTATAAATTCCTTTCTTGACTTTTGGTGTCCTACCTGGAGAGAAAGGGAGAAGACACTGGGCCAGCCACAGCCATCATCAGAAAGCATTGGAAGTGCTGGCAGTAGACATTTTTAAATAATCAAAATTCCTCACTGATATTCATAACTAATCAATCTGCAACCCAAATATGCTTATTCTTATTTCTGTCTTTGTATTCTGAAGTCACTACAGTATTCTACAAATGTTCTGTTGGAGAATCTCAAAGCTTTTTAATGTCAGGTATGTTAGTACCAGCGTGATGAGAATACTAGAAAAACAAATTCACTCCTTACTTAGGACAGATAAATTCTTTTGCACAATGGGGCCAAGAAAAACTTAACTGGACATGCACATACAATATAAACAGAACTTTAAGTATCTCCTCATTAAATGTTTCCTGTTACATAACACTTTATACCCCATTTGCTAAACAAGGGTTTACTTTCCATTAATGAAATGATACCACTGCTGGTGCAGAGTGCAGCAGCAGCTGCTTCAAGAGATCTTCTAAATGTTGCACTATTATTTGACTGAGGAGGTAAAGGAGCATCTCTTATTTAAATAAGCAACAGTGAAAATGTAGAGAAGCAGATCATTACTCTGAAGTGAATCTGGTCCAGGGGACATTTTGAAAGAAGTCCACAAACGTTATGGGTCTCAGATGTATATCTCAACAGAGATCTAATTTTGGGATAACAGTGTAGGGCAAAAAGAAAAAAAAAAATACCGGACAATGAAGACCAGCAACTGAAGTCCACTGTCATTCCTGGCATAACTCTTATACATATGTTACCCTAATCAGATCCTGTCTAGCTGGTGAAATCTGGAGAATCACTCCTAAAGGTATGAAGGGCATAAGCACAGGCCTGAGGGAAATTCCTTGCATTTTGCAGAAGCAGCACTAACTTTCATTTGGATATACAGACTTAAAGCCAACATTTTAGGGGAAAAACACATGCAAACAAAACAAAAGCAAACTAGCAAAGGAGATTTTTCCAGAAATTACTACAGTGGATGTGACAATAGTCATATACTTTAAGGGTGCCACTTAGCAGAATTGCACTTAAGCCTATTTGAGGACTATCTGAATTATGTACATATGTCTGATCTCAGAAGGGACTAAGCAATTCCTGGGAAGTCCGAGTGCCACTGAATACCACTGACATGATCGGGAGTTGAAACATGCAAAACTAGATCTGGTCACCACAAATCAGTCAAACACGGTGCATAATTCCATGCCAGAAATTCAAGAAACAACCTTCAATTAAATATGTATTTTGGTCAGATTGCTCCAGTTTGTGGCCCATTAGCCCCATCTGGCCTGCAAAATATTTCTATCTGCCCACTGTGTCTTCCTCTGAGGGAGTAAGGAGCAGTTGTTTGGACAGCAAATGCAGTCAGAGGAGCCAAGAGCCTCCTACTGTGTCTGCATGTGGCCCAGCACAGAACAGCCAGAAGTCACCGCTTCCAAGTGTGAGAAAGAGAAATGGGGGAAAAGCTGGAGAAATATTGCTACTGCATTAACCCACTGCACAAGACTGCCTGAAAAGACTGATTCCACGGATAACATGATCTCCCTGGAAGATTTTGTTGGATGTCATAAACATGCACTATTTAATCCCATTTTACTATGGGGATAATTTATAACTATAAAGAAATGTGACTCTGATGCCCTGATGGAGGTGGTCTGTTAGGAATTGATCCTTCTTTTATCCAAGTCATTGGAAGAAAAAACCCCCTCCTGATGCCATATCAAACAGCGCAGTGATGAACAGAGCAGCGATTCAGTCATGGACTTTTGCAGAGATTATGCAACTTTCACTTCCTGTCAACATGTTCCTCCTTTCATTTGGTAGTACTGAAAAGTTTTGCATAAAAGCAGTTCATTATTGCCAATGAAATCTCACAGCGTTCAATAAAAAGACAGACAAGCTAAGGGGGGTAAGATGACTTTTTGTTTCTTGAGTTGCACCCCAAATATATCACACTACCATGCTATGCTCTCCTATCCTCCCAGCTTTAATTTAATTAACACGAAGGAAGGGAATGGAATTTTACTGAAAGTTTAGAAATTCCCCCTTCAGGCAAACTTATTCAAATAACGAGTTGTTCTTTCCACATGTATTCATTTCCAGTCTTAGGAGTGCTCTCAGTTGTTCTGGCACAATTTCTTAGCTCACAAACAGAAAAGAAGCTCCTCAAAGCAGAATATATCACAAAAAATAGCAGAGCACATTATTAAAAAGCATCTTACAGATAGCTGGTGAACATATTTTCTATTTAAAGCACACATATTCTACAGTACAGCGGTACAGAAATATCCCAGCAAGCACCAAGACAGCTTGTTCCAGCGCTGGGCAACGCAACTGCACTAACATGGGGCTATCCCTAAACCAAGGGACACTGTCTCAGGGACACAGGCAGCCGTACTGCTTTTGAGACCAAAATTATTATCTTCTATAAGGAACTACACAGTGACGTGTGGAGACACCTGCCCACATCTCTGTCGGACTTGGACTTCAGTGCCATGCTTTACTGCAGGGTGTAGGTGCCCTTAGAAAAGTTTAATGCTTATCTTGTACCTGACTACCCAACTGTAAATGCTGATTATTATACCGTAGCTTTTTTCCCAGGCTCTTTGGGAGCTACTGTGAGACATTATCAGGGATATTAGTGGAATTACAGATGGATAGGGGAGTTAATTCAAGAGCTTGTAGGAAATTTTAATTAAAGAAGTATCAGCATTTGCAAGCTGAACAAAATGCTTGGATATGAAGTACTGCATAGAGCACAGAAAGTGAAGTCCTAGTCTGACTGAAGTTTGTGGCAAAACTCTTACCAATGTCAACAGAGTAAGGATTTCAGCGAACAGTACGAGATTTTATATCCTTGGAGCCATATTCAGTTTGTTACCAAGACCCAGATGGAGGTATCTTTATGTGAGCATACTGAGTAAGTCCCCAGTACAGTCAAAAGAGATGTAGTCAATGCAGTTAATGGAGCCCAGAGAGAGACTCAGGATGTGATGAATTGCTCTCTATGTCTACAGACTGTACTGGCTCAATTAACAGGAACTTAGAGATTGGTGTCCCTCTGGAACAGCTGAAGGCCAAGCAGAACTAAAATGGCATTAGACACCTATCCTGAGGCATCCGAATCCAGACCTAGATCTCCACTGAGAAAACTGGAGCTTAGATACCTAGCTCACACACAGACACCTACATTTAGGCGTCTTTGGCTGGAGCTGAATCCCTCCCTTGATATCCTATGAAAAGCCCATGTCATTGACTTCAATAGGTTTTGGATAAAGTTCTCCAAAATCAAAATAAAAT